CAGGCAGCCTGGGGAGCAGGAGGGGGGCAGCCGGGCCAGGCCGGCTTGCCTTTCGTGCCCCCCCCCACCTCCGCTGACCCAGGGCACGGGAGTCTCCCGCCCTTTGGCGGCCACGCTTCACCACCACCATCACTCGTGCTGTAACATGGCGCCTTGGCGTACGGCCGCGCGTGGACGTCCCACACCCGGCATGAAACAATGTCCCCTTCTGTCAGACCAGCACCTTTCCCTCCAAAATAACCCCAAAGCGGACCCAACCGCTTGGCACCTTAACATCCCTCGGTGCCGCTGAGGAAAACACCATTCCCAGGCCTCAGTCACCAACGCGTTCGCTCGAGCGGATGCACTTTGGGCAACGTGCTTGTTCCCGTGGCACTGGCTCCCTGTTTGCTTCCCCAGCCTGTCTTGGCTTTTCCAAAAGCCAGGGGGAAATTTCTAGAAGTACCGAGGTGTAAAGATGCGGACGGGCCCCTCGTGTGGTTTTCAAGCGTGCCCAGTCTTCACCTGCCTCACAGAGACACGAAGGGCTCCGGTTTAGCCTCCGCCATTCTCTCTGCAGGCAAAGGTTTGGCCTCTCCCGGACCCTGACCCAAAGCCAATTACATTGCTCCATTAACTTCAACGGACTTGGAATTGTCAGCTTGTTTTGACGACTACGTAAATCAGAGCCGTGAATTAAACACCTAGGTATTTAAGCAATGACAGCATCTTGCTGCATAAGACAGCGTTGCTGTGCATAACGTGGCAGCATGTGTCGTGCTCCCCACAGAGCCACTCAGACGCAGCTTTCCCGGGGATTATGCTCTGACCTGATGGGAAAGGCTTTGCATTTCTTTCTGAACAGAACATAACCAAACTATTTTTATTCTTAAAGGTGAAAAATACAAGCATACCCTCTCAGGGGGACATGTCAGACACCAGTAAGTACATATATAGTCTGGATAATGTTAGGATAGCATAGTAAAATAGAAAAGATAACAGTAAGCAGCAGCAATCCCAGATTCATTCGCTTCATTACAAAGATCGTACTGTTCCTATTACAACTGAAACATAAAAATATTTGCTGTTTTCTTTTAAAAGGAATAGATCAAATAACTGCATTCTTGCTCTAACTGTGTAGCGTGGTCCAGCATTAACGCAGGAGTTCCTAAACTTGCCCAGTCTATTCAGACCATCTCCTGGGCCTTTGCTCTCTCCATACGGTCATACGAACCAAAGTCTCCGCATCCTAGCTCCGCAGCAGCACACCTCACCCACTGCTGATGTGACAAGCTGAAAGCAATGTGTTTTAAATATCACTCAACGCAACCTGGAGTTGGAAGGGGAAAAAGGACCATCCAACCTTCTAACAGACTTCAAGCAAATGCCTCACAGGTCTTACAGGCTTGAGAAACCCTCATCTAATTAGTGCTGTTTAGAATTAGAAACCGTTATGGCCCATGAAAACTGAAAAAAATATTGGAGTGCTGTGTATCCCATTGGAAAAAAAAGGGTAATACCAACTCTTTTTTCTCCTAAATGGTGGCAAGTCAGTAGATATTATAGAGATATCTCTTTTGCAAGTATGATTTTATTAGTTTTCCCAAATGCAGCTAGGACTTTATCCTAGCATTTTATAAATAAGGCAAGCAAAAATGCTAAAATGGGCAATTTAACACATTAGGACCAAATAAACATATTTCTGCTGATGTTCTGAAATATAACATCAACTTTAATAGCTTTGGACTAGCACAGGATTTTCATATGAGTATTACCAACATAGCTAAAAAGAAATCTTATCATTCACAAATAGCATTAAGGCACACGCCAGGGAGTTCACAGCCACGCAGTATGTGCGCAAGTACAAGATATACGAGGGTACAAGATATAAGACCTCAACTCCCTCCAGCCTTCTCCAAGAAAATCTTTTATTTTTCTGCAGGAGGACAGCCGAACGACAGCCAATTTTGTTTTCTTCCCTTTTCTTTTCTTTTTTTTCCACAGTGCCAGCAAGGATGAGGACGGAATTATTTTAAAGCCCAATGATCTACCACAGTTCACCTCCAGTTCAAACAACTCAAAGACAAGGAGTGGAGAGACCTCGCTGGGGGCAAGAGATCTCTCTGCGTAAGCCACTTATGCCACAGAGTTTATGCAATTTGGCACTAAAATGCTCAAGGCTGGAATCTGTCCTGCAGATGTTACTGCTGCCATGGGCCTCTGGATAGATAGAAAAACCCCACCAGGCTGCAAGTCCAAGTACCTTTGTCAGCACAATGATGGACATGGAATAGAAACAGATGCAGCAAGCACTCCACACTGAGATCTTGCTTGACAGCGTTGATGTAAATCAAACAGAACAAAAAGTTTTGGAACAAATGACAGAAAAAGCTGGATGCTATTAAATGGGGGTGGAAGCACCGGAGTATCAGCGTGGCAGTTTGAGGCACCATATGGGGGACGGGGGTAAGTGGGAAAGGGAGCAGGCTCGGCAGTGCTGGTGTGCACGCCTCTTTCACAGCCATTTGCTGCAGAGACAACTGGATTAAATTAGAGTAGAATGAGGATTTGGGATTACAGAGAAACAGAGGCATCAACAGTTTTAATTTCTCCTCCTCAATTATTTATAATAATACGGGAAAATACGAAAATGAAGAATAAAATGAATTCTGCAAACTAGGAAGAAGAGACAAACCGCAGGATCTAGCACTAGCTGTACTTTCCATGGCAGGGCACTTCAGCCTGTTGTACCACGTCACAAAGCAGCGTTTGCATTTCTTAGATGTCTAGCATCTCTCATTTGATCCTATTCAGGTAATTCTTGATTACATGACAACAAGACAGTTATCAAGGCTCTCATGTTTAGATTATAGCAGCCTTTTTCCCTCCCCACACAAATTGGTACACTCTGTTTTGCCAAAGCAAAATGAACAAACAAGCCACTGCTGTGACATCCCAGGAATAAACACTAACAGTAAATCACCTTTGCATGGAAAGCAGTTCTCCAATCAACCAAAGCAAACTGCAAATGTCAGCTTGTTAACTGGTAATCCTGCTGAAAAGTAACCCTAAGAGCGGTATTAGGGTTTGCTAACTTGCTTTGACAGTGGCTTTGCTAAAGAATCACTAGACAAAATAGGCAAATGAGAGATGTTCCAAATTAAAGACAATGAAGATAAAAAGACTAGTTTAACCCTCCAAAATAAGGCGGCCAGTGCTGTCCCCTGTCCACTTGAGACCATCAGGCACTCTGCAAAAGCACTCCTAGAAATGTACTATTTTTTACTCTTCAAAACCTTTTCTCTGAGTCCAGACATTGCTACTGCTGACGTGATACTTGCAGTGAGAGCACCTTTTAGAACAGCAATCTCATACCTTTGGCTTTTTTTATTCACTATGAAATGAAATAATTCAGCTTTTAATATACTGTGAAGCGAGGAGTCTTCCCCTGTCAGGCCTAATATGCATTATGAAAGGTTTTAGCCAACAATACAGATTTAAAAAAAAAAAAAAAAAAAAGGCAAGTTTAAACTCCAAGTGCCAGCAGATGGATGAGTTACCCTCTTGAGACTAGGGACTAAATTACGGACAGTCAGCGGGAGGTCAGCGAGACAACCACGTCTCAGCACTCAGCTACCACTGTTGGGCAACACCCCCACCCCGCTCCCCTCTGCCGCTCCGTATACTCTGCCCTTACATCAAGCCGTGCCTCCTTCCCGCTCAGCTAGACTGTGCCTCTATTAAGATTACCCGTCCTTTCCTCCCAGGGCTTCCTCTGTATTTTTTTGGTGAAAGTCAAAGGAATTAACAAAGCCGGGGCTGCTCTCCAGCCTCCCCCAGATTTCGCTGCCCCCTCCACAACAGCTCAATCCCCAGCCTCGGCTCTTCCCAACAAAGCCACATCGCTGGGGAACTTCCCAGTTGACTTCTCCCAGCCTGAAGGATTTCCCCTGAGTGGAGGCTGCTGCAGACAGGAACATCCATTTGGGTCTTCATTGCTTTCCTCTGAAGGCCTCCTAGGGACTTTTGGGTTTAAACAAAGAATAGCCACAGCCAGAGCCAGTGTAAAAAGCTTCAAGCAAATTCAGAGAAAACATAAGAAAAGGTTAATTCTGTCATTTCATGTCCCGAGGCAATACTCTCTCTCTCTCTCTTGTGTTCTACCGGTCTTTTTATACTTGATGAGTTCCAGGGAAATGGGTGGAAGATGTGGAAATCCTACTGCAAAAGCACCTGCCCGCTCCTTTCCTTTCCCCAGAGAACAACACACAGAACATTCTATTATTTAGTTAATTGCAAAGAAACAATTACAAAGGAACTTGGCAAATTCTCTCTAATCACAGCTAGACCCATTGCAGTTCAGCAAGTTCAGCAAATTAGCAAATAAGTGAATATAAAAAGGAAAGAATAACAAAGCTCAAATTGCACTTTGTTCGTTTGTTTTGTCACTCATAGTTTCTGTTTAATTATTTAAGATATTTCTTCATAGCATTCTAGTACGTTTTGTATAATAGTGAAGGTTTAGTAGCATAGAAATGCAATGCGTGGCTATTAAATATCTGCCGATAGGAGGAAGAAAACTGCCAATTCTGTGTATAAATAATAGAGAGCATGTTCAGGAAAAATTTCCAGGTTAGATAAATAGAAGGTTCTGCCACGATTTGTGTAAGATACAAATAAGGATTATTGCTAGATAACGACAATGCTAAGTAACGTTTGTGCAGAACATTATAACTTGTACTACAGGCATTCGTGGTCAACCCCCTGTTTATTAAAAGCTATTCTAGTTTTCCGTGCATATAACTAGAGGCCATTTAAACATAGCCTTTTTTTTATAGCAGCGCTGTGATCAAATGACAGATTTTACAGTATTTCATTTCTAAATTCATATTACAGGAAAGACTTTCAAGCTCCGTTACATTACTGAAGCAGAGCCTCATCTCTGCAGAGCTGTCAGACTGAGAAGGGGCAGAGGAGCGAGATCCAGGTGTGGTATTATCTGGCTGATAGCGAGGGAGCTAAGACAGCCCTTTACAACAGGCATGATGTCCCTCCTGGTTCTACCCAGACCGTTTTGAGCATCAAGATTTTATGACACATCTGTTCGTGCTACCAAGAATAGAAGCCCTAAAGGGGCTTAGGTGGTACCCAGCACAAAATGTCTTTGAGGCATGCTGGCAAAAACCCCACCAAATAGAAGGGGAGCCGTTACAGTCTGAGCAACATCTTGAGAGAGGAAGTTTTGTTTGTACACAGCTCCGCTGAGGGGAACAACATGAACGCTTTCCTGGAGACCAGTACGAATACATATGCTCTCACATTTGAAAAAGGTAATTAGGACAGCCAGACAGTGGAAGGGGCAAAAGGAGCAGCGTACAACTTAATCAGTAGACTACAACAGAGTATAGTTAATAAGAACATAGCAATACTCACCATTCAAGGCTATTCCTTTGAGCGCAGTGAGGACAGAATGAGTGCTAAAGGCCACATATAAGCAAGAGCCGATGTGCCTCACGCACATCTGAAAATTGGGCAAACATTTAGGAACTGATGTCAGTGCTGTCTCTACCAGGTAAAGAACCACATAAGCAAACTTTAGAAGGAAACGCCAGAGGAACTGATGCAGCACCAGACCACCAATCATGCCTGAAAATCCTTCCCTAATAACCTTGAGTCTAATGCAGATATTTTGCTCTTTGCAGGTCTTAATGATGCCCATCGAATCAATGAAATTTTTCTTTTGCCCTTAGAAGTTCACATGGGGAAACCGATTAGTTAGCTGACAGACCTACCATAAACGGATGCTGCAAAGCTTGCAGGAGTCAAGGGCATTCTGACTTCAGATGGAGCCAAAGCAGAGTTTAATACAAGTGGTGTGAATGCTTAATTGCTTTCAACTGAATTCAAGACTAGTCTGCTCCAAGAAATCATACCAAAACTTTTCCATTCATGCCACATGGCTTACCTCCAGCATTTAAGATTTAAAACTGAAGTTTCTGCTAAGAAATCCAGAGCATATGTCAGTGGAACAGAGAGAAAAGGAACAAAAAAGTGAAATTTAGATAATATATTCATCAAACACAGATTGTTTGTTTCATCTTGTACTCATAGCTGTTTTAATCCTACAACAAGGACTCTGCTAGACAGGAAGATGACTACAGGATTCCCATGTCTTCACAGCAGTTAGCAGGGTCTTCTATCTTCATAAAGCAGCATAAGGCTTCTTTTTCCTGGCAGTCCCTAAAGGCTTTTTCAGTGGACCTGGAAAGGAACACATACCTCCTAGTTCCTTCCACCAGAGCTTCATGAACAGCAACAATGACCGAGGTATGGGGATACACTCTGAGTAAATGGGACAGTCTTCAGAAGCCTGTAGACTCCTATTCTCCCTGCGGCTGACAGCAAACCAGCTTCACCCAGTCCTCTGCATGTCTACAAGGTATTTAGGCACATTTCTCTTCTCTGGCAGATTATTTTGAACAGTCACCACAACAATTTCTTTTGAATCTTTTATCTGAATTTCACTGGTTTGATAACTGGTCAGTGTGACTTGCAACCACCAAGCAAGCAGCACAACAATAGATAAAAAGGCATAAATGAAGCTTGCTGTACTCCACCCAAACCCAGATATGTTTGAGGCAATGGCATGGCTTTTAGTTATAGACCTACTGGACAGGATTTCTTTTCTGAATAAAACACCAGAAGGGAAGACCGAAAGCAAAAGACCATCGCCTCTGTCAATTCCACTAGGCCTTGGTCAAGAACACTGTTCATTCCTGATGGGACAATCTTGAATGCCTACTGAAGAAGAAATTTCACACCCTACATGTTTAAGGGTTACCTTGTTACTATTGGCTCAGGAAAACAGCCAGAAGTAAAAGGTCAACTGAGGTGCAAAGTGAAAACAACAGGAGCACACAGCAGAGGCCAGAGGAGCAATGCACACACAGCAACTGCAGCAGAAATGCATGAACAATTAATTTACAAACTTTAACTTTATTTGAAAGGTCAACAATTAGGAGAAAATACATTGCAATTGTTTTAGCTTTTAAAAGATCCCCAAATAAATTACATAAAAGACTTGCACAGTTCTAAATATTAAAAAGATCATAAAAATTAATGGCGCTCTCATATGCCAAGATTAATCCTTTTCCATTTTGACTATATTAAAAGTTGCCTGGGATTATTTTTATAGCTATGCAGAAAACAGTACAGTTTTCAGGTCTTGATGCCTCAGTAAAGATTTACAGGCATAGGCACTTAAGGGTAAAAAGAGATCAAGAGCGGTAACATCCCATGAAAGTCAGAAGTCTATATTCACACACAATCTCTAACTAAACGCTACTGTAAATTGCAAAAGGTTTTAAGTAGGTAACATTATCCCCCATCAGTAGAATGGAAAGTGTGCTGTTAGATAACATAGGTTGCAGTGCAGTTTAATTTTAATTCAAGACCTCGATGCCCCCACAAGGTCACCAGTACTTTTTACAGAAGATGCATTTTTCAGAAATTGAGTAGGTTTGTATTGGGCCTGCCTTGACAGGTTTGAGCCACACTGATTTTTACTGTCCTCAGCTCCCTGTTAAGGAAAAACACCATTTATTCCAAAATTAACTTTTTCGTCCTTCATTGTTCCTCACTTCTTCCCAGATTTACAGGTGCTGGCATTCAGAGAGATAACCACAGAATGAAACCTAGTGTCAATTACTACTCCCTTCAACACATTCCATTGCAGTATATAACAAAACAACATTAAAAGCTACTAATACTGTGGAAGTTTCTCCTTCTACTGTACCACACCAAACTTTTGATGTGCAGTGAGCATATAGTTATCTTCCAAACTGAGATAGCAGTTTGAAGCCCGGCTCAAGTTAAGTATCAGATTTTTGATAGCTAAGAGATAGCAGACTCAAATTTAGGAAGCTCTAGACACATCCTCATTCATCCCAGAAAACTGGGATGGAGTAGAAAATGGAGAAGATGGAGAAAACTGCTCCTTTTCACCCTGATTTTTGTCTGTGCCTTTGGGTCATGCCAAGACACTATCTCCCCTTTATCCCAGAACTTGTGTATTGACAGCACTACTGCTAGTCATACGCTCGGTGAAAACACAGAGCAGAAAGACTTGTATCTACTTCCTAATACTTTCATATTGGTTATTACAGCACAGTGAAGTAAAAGAATGTCATCTTCATTATATTTGCTGTCCAAGTATTTCCCTATAGGAACAGCTAGGTAGGTATTTTATATCACTCTTGCTCCTGACACATTACATACTCTCCCCTTAATATGTCAGAGTCCTCAGCTCTAGTTACTCTCTCTGGAGGTATCCATGACAGTCACAGTTACAGACTTGAAATATTATACATAAGCAACTCAGGAGACCTCTGCTTTTATTTAGCAAAATGACTCTCTTTCATAACGTGACTTCCAGAAAAAGAGGGAAACAGGTCTCACCTTCTGCCAAGAGGATTCTGTCCCTTTTATTCTTTTATTTTATACACTTTTTTATCCTTTCTGCAGATGACAGTCATGTGACCAAAGTACCAGCAGGAAAAATTTACCCAACGGGAGTGTAAATGACATTCTTCAGACTGCTTTGGGTATGGAGAGCTCCCAAAACTGCCTTTGGAAATAGCACAGGCAGCATTTCCACTGATGGGATTAAATGAAATCAGCTGCATTGTGCTGCAGCCATCCAGTTTCCTCTTTGGCTGCAAGTACTGGCATGAACTATGATAAGCCTCAGATAGTGCTTCATTGAAATCAAAGAACCGAGACAGCTCTGACTTATTAGTATTCTGTGAAACAGTGGCGACTGATTTTTAATTTAAAAAAGAAGAGGGAAAAGGTGATAAAAATCTTATATTTAAAAGTGTGCTTTCTGTTTACAGGAGTCTTTATTACTCCTCGATGACAAAGGAACCATTAGGGTCTCCACAAAAACTTCACTGTGTGCTTGTAAAATTAAATTCTCCTTCCAGTAAATACCATATAAGTTATCTAGTTCACCTTAAAAAAAAAACCCACACACTGTAATGCCTATGAAGGATGTTGGCATGATAGTAGGAACTATAAGGCCCTCCTTTCAGTCAAGAAGGGGCACAGTCTGCATTAAAAGATCTGGAAAGACCCCTCGGACCATATTCTCCAGAGCCCATTATGTCTTTGGTCCTTCCATGGACAACAATATTATCAAACAGTGTTATTTCTGGATGTAGTCTTAATTTCTCTTATAATCCAACCTACCACTCCTGTTCCTAAACCAAACTGCATGGGTTAGGCTTTGTATATTATGCTCATCGCAATCCATATCCCTCAGAACAGAGCTGGGAGTGCCCATGCTTTCCAGCAGTCAACCTTGTAGCTGTACCTGATGACAGAAAATGGGTGTATATTGTGACCCCTCTCCCAGCCTGTGACTGGACTTAGTGCACACCTGCAGTATATATGTATATATAATGGGTGCACATGCAAAGTAGTACTGAGAAGAGAGATCAACAACAGAAAAACATTAGTCTTGAAAACCCCTTAGAGTGCTCATACACTGAGTGCTATTTAGGTGAAAGTTTCAGACAGTCAAGTGACATAAACTAAAACAGGACATAAAGCAACATATCTCCTATTCCAAATGTTTTCACATATTAGAGATGATCCTGCATAATCCACTCATATTTGTGACATGTAAGCAAAAAAAGCAGTCACAAGCGTAGCCTTCACAGAACACTCCTGCTATTATGCACCGTCTCTGACAAATAGAAAAAATTGATTACGTGTTTGGACATTTCAAATACAAAATAGTACTATACATATCATAGCAAGCACACTTGGAAAAAGCAATAAATAAGAAAACCCTGCTGATACAGTAGGCCTAGAATAGCCCTATGACAAAGAAATGGATTTCTAAAAGCCTTTACAAGGTCTGCACAGACTGCAAATGTTCAGTATAAAAATAAACAAAAAAGATATTAAAATATCACACAGTAAAATGTTTAAAGAGAGGACCTAGTAACAAATACAAGCTGTTCCCCTTCACGTACATGGGCTGAAAATTGGAGCCATGTCATTAATCACTTTCCAATAAAACAAATTATTTTAGTCAAACTGAAACAAAACTGTTTGACATGAAATAGCTTAAGGCTTTATTGCTTTCATTTAAATTTGGCAATTGAATTTATAATCCTCATTGTGAGACAAAATATTAAAGTGTTTTGGTTTAGTTTTTAAATCCAAACTCTATCTGTACCAGGAGGATAAGGTTAACAGTTAGTCAGTGGCTTTTAGCCATAAAGTCTGCAGAGATGGCATATCAAACAATTAATCGTTTATGGATGAAATAATGACAACTGTCATTAAAAAGGGTCTGATATCTCCCGTTTTTCATCTTTGATATGCTTTATCTTGGTAGAAACAGTTTTGTGAATCGAATAATTCAAGATCACCAGAGCCTGTTACCAAAACTTAGAAGTGGGTGTAGTTTTTCTTCATCTGCAACAACGGAGAGACAATGACAATATCATCTGAATCGTCTGAGTGAGCTTCATCCACAGACACAGGGAGAATAGGCTGTGATTGCTTCTCAGAGGACCTGGCTGAAATAATTACAAAGAAAACAAGGTCATCAATAAACAATATTGACAAAAACAAGCCCTTGTGGGAAGCGTAATATTCTCCAAGCCATTAAGTTTCCAGAATTACCTACAGTTATGAATAACTCTGATCTACCTTTTTCTGTGTATAACTATTCCCATTCCTCTTTAATGAAAGAGCATGCATGGCAGGCATTAAGTTGACATACCGACCATGCATGATTTGTCTTACTGTCTTTAAATCTTTGCAAGTGGTTACACACCACAAAGTAAAGCAATTTGATACTGAAGCCATCTCAGGTCATAAAAATAAATATTTATTAGATGGCCAGAAAAGGAAAAACTGACCCAAGCAAGCTTAAGCTAAGCAGAAAGGTCATAATGAGAACTTCAGTCAGACATAGATAGAACAAAAGGAAATAGAAAAAAGATGGAAGCTCTCAGTGACTGTTTCATCCTTATACCAAAAAATTCATCCAAATACCAAAAATCATATTCACATGCTGTACTACCTTAATGACAATAAAAATGGTGACCATATCATGGGGTGGAGTTTTGGGGTGGGTTTTTTTTTTTGCTTCTCTGCTATTTGAGGAAACGTTCAGGACATGAACAGATAGAACCCTAAAGATTCCAATAAGCACTGGAAAATCAGAGGAATAAAATGGACACATATGAGGCCCCTAACATCTGATGAGCAGAACCAGCAGCTTATATCCCCTCTGCAAGAGATCTATGAACTAAATGACGACAGCTATTAATACCTTCTAGCACAATATCCTCCCCTCAGCTATTAATACCTCCTAGCACAATATTCTCCCCTGAGCTCCACTTATTTTTCAGTTTCAAATATAAATTCTCTGAAAAGACTATCTCCCAAAGAAGAAAACAAATTGAGATAACCTGTGGTCTGTTTCCTCTTTCTACAAGTAAGCAGCCATATACTGAGATTTTGACACTGAAATGGAAGGGAAAATGGAGGGCATACAGGAATTACTTGGGGAGAAGAACAGACATGCCATGGGTCTCACAGTGAAATAAGAGGTTCCCGACAGAGAAAAAAACCCAACATCCTGGTATGGAAGAAGAGGCATACACAGCAACTGGAATGTGGAATAAAGAAAGGGGACCGCAACCAGCCCAGAAATAGAAAAAGTGACAGACAGAGAGCCTGTGAATGGAAAGGAGGAATGCGGGGAGGCCATTACACTGACCTCAACCTACGGAAGCAAAGAAACACATGACTTTCTAGTTAAGTGAAATCAGTTAACAAATAACATAAGAGTTTTTCAGGAAGATTTATGAGCCAGTAGTACTGGTGATAAGGATGAGCAAAGAGAACTTCCAGAAGCAGGCATAACTAGAAGATGCAACTCCTACAATAAACAGATATCATATATGAAATAGCTTAATATTGTCCAAATCACTCTTGATTATATCCTGCTCTTGATGTCTGACATTTTCTTGTCCTCGTCTTCAGTTTAATATACTTCAGAGTGACAACTTTATCTTTGTGCTTGTGAAGGGTTAAGCACTGATTAGACTTAAGGGTTGTATGTAAATTCATTATTATTTCAAAAAAGCCTCAAATTAAGTTAACGGTTGTATCCAGAGTGGCTAGTGATATGCAGAGAGAAATGCTGCCCTTATTCAAGATTGCTGTGCATGTACAGAACATATTCTTCCTTCCTGCCACTCCCCTGACAGAAACAAAACGCTAAGCTTCACAGACTGAATTGTTATCTGTTCCATTTCATGGGAAGCAGCAGAAATGGCTTTACAAATCTCCAAGTACTGTCCACATTCTGAAGACAAGCAAAGCAATATTGAATGCTACACCACTTTTGCTATTTTTTTTTTTTTTATTTAGAAAACAGAGACATCTAACCTGATGCAAACAATGAATTAAAAGTCTGCAATGCTAGACCAGGATTATATAAATCTATTCTAGCAGATACATAAGGTTCTTCAAAACACATTTTACTCTTTCCCATTCCTCTCAAAATAATGCAGAAAGGCTACTGAAATTAGATTACTTACTGCAATATATACTTTCACTGAAATTTAAGATCATTGCAAGATCTAGAGGTCACAAAATGCAAGTTTGGACTTGGGACAAATGAAGCAAGAGCTTGTTCAACATAAAGCTAAAGGAATTTGATTGCTTTAAATCACTCAGCTGTTAAACAAGCTCCTTGTCTCATGTACTTTCCAAGCTGCAGGATGACCAGTGAAATACATTACAACAAAACCCAATTTTTCTAGTGGATTTTTACATCAGTCATGAGCTACAAGTGACAGATGTTGGACTTTTAGTTAACTTCAACCTGTTTAAGCTACATAAATTCAAATGGCAAAAAACCTGCTATAACCAAACAGATTGCTGAGGGGTCAACATTTCTTCACACAGGTGGCATTTACACCAGAACACTCTCCTTCCTTTAGTAGGTTTTTCCTGATTTGTCTTTTGGGAGAGTTTGGTTAAACCCTCCAATGCACCAAGAGCTAATACTTCACACAGCTACTCAGTGCAAGGCAGTCTTTTGGGCAGTTGTGCAGTTACAGAAGCACATATCCAGTATGCCTCTTCACAAGCTGCCTAGATACATTCTATCCTCATCCCAGATGTTGAGAACGTCTCCCATATTTGTAAGATCAGCAGCAAATATAGCCTGCTTTGCTCCCAATCTCTCCTTTTTGATATTCACCAGAAAAGGACTGCAAGGAAAAAAGTTTGAATGTTTATGGTCTCCTCCCTATCCCTTCCAGTATAAATTCTTCCAGAACTTCTTCACTCATCACTTTGTCATCATAACCTCCAATAAAAGTTAGCTTTGGAGACTTCATAGCTAGACAGTGACTGTGCTCTATTAGTATTCATACTATTGCATTTACCAGACTAGCTTCATCTTACACCCTTCTCTGGGTCTTAGAAGCACTTCTTCAGAGGCACAAAGCATTTTTTTAAACCGATTCTTTCTCTTTGGGTAGAATTTCACAACTGTTTTACTCTGGCTTTAGACTGAGCATACCAATAATGACTACTGCAGTACAGCCCAGGCAAAACAGGATGCTGCAGCTTTTTTTTTTCTGGATACCGTCACCAGACATAAGTAAAATCACTCAAAACTCTTAACATCTTCAGAAGCAAGTACTACCTACTCCTTCACAAAGTAGAATAAGCTCCTGAATATGGAATACAGTAAAGTTTCTTAAACACATTTTCCTTCACTGAAGGGTGACTGTATTCACAACTGCTGCAGATCTGGCTTATTCCCCATCTCGTATCTTAGAGAAACAGCCTCAGCTGCTTACAGCATGCTCTGTTTCTGAGCAAGTCTGCAGGGACTGTCAGCTTTTCACTGACAAAAGAACAAGTAACTGTTTCTCAAGTCACCCTCAAAGTTGCTCTTTTTTCTCCAACTGATCCATAAAAGCCTAAAATATTCCACTCTGGATAGAACCAACCTTTTTCAATTTGTTTTTAACCCCTTTGAAGCTGCTTGTCTAGGGATGTCTTATCTGCATCATTGTTTTGCCTTTCCTACTCAGTACTTCTAACATCCTCTTAAAAGCCTCTTTGGGTTTAACTCCACCTTCTCACAAACAGCAATGAAGAATTCAAGAAAGAAACCAAATGGCATAAGACCCATAAAAAAGACAGACATTTTCCCAGTTTGTATTACAGTAGTACCATTTGGCAAGGTTATCCAGGACTTCATCTTTCCTCTTACAGCAGCAACAGAAGACTGCTGAAGAAACGTGACTAAAGACACATGGCTGACTAGGATAGTTCTTTTACCAGATGTCTGTCCCCTTCAGAAACTAAGTCAGGATGGTGAAAACGTTCTTGGCTTGTCTATGGCTTTGGGCCCAAAATGTAGTGGAAAGTACCATACTACAGCTGCAGGGCTGGGGGGATTGAAAAAGGAAGTAGAGAGGCAATACAGGGGAACACCATGTTCCTTGAATAACTACCACTCACACCCAAGAGCGAGCTTCCAAACCACAGTTGTGACAAAAAGGCAAAGCACTGTGAGGAAGCTGGTACTCATACTGTTAAAGCTTTTCTTTTTTATGTAAGGGACTGCACGTGCTAGTATAAGCAACATGTCATAAAATTAAAGGAAGGCACACTCACAGAGTACATGTACACATGTGTGTGCATGTGCAGATGTTCTCCATAAAATTGTGTGTGCACCCACCCACTCAAAACACCCATACTTCTGAACACAGAGGGAAATGAGATTACCAGGAAGAGGTGACATGAAGATTGAAGGAGGTCTCTGGAGCACTGCTGAGACCAGTTTCTTCTCTGTAATGTAAACTGCAGAATCTGCTTTCTCACTTGGTGCACTAGACACAGAGGGCCTGCAAAAAGACATACTGCATAGCATAAGGCACAGAACAGTAACTGCACTCTGTCTTCAGAGGGTACGCTGAAAAGTTTCTTGTGTTGCTAGCGTCCAAGAGACAAAAGCTTATCACCTGCAGAAGTGAACTCAGACACTAAGTGAGGTGACAGCTATGTAACTCTGTTTGTAACCATGGCAGCCAATATTTAAAACTTTCGGAGCAGTAAACCCTGGAGAGAAAGGAAGTATTTTTCAAGACAGAGTCACCATAAACTTACTGCTTAGGTAAATCATTGAATTCTTCCTCAGCAAGATGGTATCCTAGCTCCTCCCTGTTCTTCCTCCACATAACCCTTAATTTTTACATGCCAGGGCTTCAGATTCACTTACATTAAGCAAGTGTACTAGCAATCAGTTTGATAGCAACTGTTATTATTATTTTTTTTTTCCAAAGAGTAATTATTTTACTTTACTTTTCCTCATTGCTATGGAGAACAGGACATGGGAAGACTACTGCTGCAAAAAGAAACCCTTTTAGTTGCATACCCTTTGAATTTTCTCAGGAGCAAGCTCTCCCTTGTCTTTGTTGGAACAACGGCCTTGTTCTCCTTCTCTGCCAAGAAACCCACACTAAGATTCTATTAAAAAAAATGAGCCCTCTCCTCTAAAAAAACCCAATTTTGCTACTGCATGTTGCAGAAGTATCTATTCCTCACTTACCTCTCCTCAAGCAGTACTGTACGTGCTAAGTGAGCCCTGAAAATGGACTGGATAAATGTCACAATCTCATCTTTCTCCTTGCAATCAGAAGACAAGCTCAAGGAGGTTGACATGGAAGACATGCAGGAGTTCTGCAAAGCAATCAGATTAAAGAAAACTGACCTTTTACAGATTTCACAGAAGCTTGACAGACTCTTTCACAATCTTGTTCCTGATTGTGAAAGTGGTAGTAGAGCAAATATTCCCATCTTTTGGTCTGCAGTCTTTAAGGTTCTATAAGACTAAATCAGCAGGAAATGCAAATCTGATCATCATACAAGCTTGAAGCATCTGTATTCAATTAATGAAAGAGCAGACACCTGCAAGGAAAGTTCATTTATTTTCCAGGAAGGAAACCTTTTGAAGTCAAAGGAGATAAGGCAACCTTCATGATGGATATATCTTCTGCTTATATCAAGCAAAAGTATTCAGTCCTACTGCATTGGGACAGTTTACTGAAATAAAAGTGCATGTAAAGTGCAACCAGATGGACAACCTGGATGGAGAATTACAAATTAACTTTAGCCTGCATCCAAAGGATGTTCATATAAATTGGCAAATGATTTACCGAAACCAAATGTTTAATTGGTAAGGAAATTTTCTCATATTTAGAACTGAGCAATCTGGAGTGAGTTTGACTTGACAGAGGACCCTACAAGTCTTTGGTTGAGCATACCACATGCAAGACTCCTTTACTTTTCAACCCAATCAAAGATGCTTTCCAAATCCTTATTTCTGAACTTTAGTGACAAAGGTTCGTCTATTACTACAATGATTCAGTAGTGAACACTTGACAGCAAGTACAGTTTTCAACAGCACTCCGAATTAAAAGTTAAAGGGTACATTATTAGCTGATGGGAGAACCAGAAAAAAAGAGGAGACCTAGCTACAGTCCATAATGCAGAGAAGTTATAGCTTTACTTCTAAGAAAAACTGTGAACTAAAGAAGATAGAAAGGGAGGCTAGGGAATGAGCTTGACATCTTTCTGGAATTACAGCAGTGCTGCCAACTAGTGTGTTAAAACATCACCGGGTGATTCAGAGAATTAAGTCTGGAAGTACAGTACTTTACACTGTAAACTAAACATAATGGGATGCCTGGATACCCATTTTTCCCAACAATTACCTTGTGAGATTTTGCATCATGCATCCTGTTATTCAGTAACAGTTTCTGTCGAGCTAAATGTCCTCTGAAAGCTGCCTGAAGCATAACAACTGCCTAGCATAGAAAGAAATAAGTACATGTTAGCTGCTTTGAAAGATGGCAGCTATAGATTAAAACAAGAGTCCAGAGGGAAGAGGCACATGGGGAAAATAACTTTTCCCTGTGCAATGGAAACTCTTTGATGTCTTGACATTTTTTTTATGTTTAAGGGAAACACACACATCCCCATTACTTCATAGGTACTCTGCTGCAATCCAAAGAATCCCCAGCCTGTGACAACCCACAGACATACAGCTCCATGGTTTAAATTCAATTTGGGAGATGTTCATGATTGATCTTATCAAACACAGTAAAGTTCTAGCTGCCAACACTAGCCAATGTTTCACAAATATAGCAACATGCTCCCATTCCCATATTAGATTCTGGCTACCCAGCAGGCTCTGTGATGCTTTGATACAATCAGAAATCAAGCCAAGTCTGGCAGACCATTGTGGTGATTACACTGAACGTAAGTCTTTCCTCTCTACTCAGGGATTTTACTGGATTCTAATCAACAAAAAGCATCTAGATGTAAAACAGTATGTTTGCGTCACATGGCTAGAATTTGTTGTCATTTCTGAAAGTAGGATTTCTAACGTTCTGGAAAAAACAAATGTAAGATGCTACATTGTGCTATTTGAAGAAACAGCTTAATAAAAACCTTTGTGCAGAACATTTATCAAAAAGTGACAAGTTTGTCAAAGATGTTTCTTCTTAGCAAAGGCTTCAAATTCCTACTTCAAATCTTTCTGAAGACTCATCATAGTGAAAATGAAAGCATTATTAGAATTATGTAATGCAGAAAAACTTTCCTGTCTGTATCAAATTTTGTTCAAAATTTTCAGAAGCATTCCTCTTGCAGAAGGTGCTAAGTACAGAAAATTTGAGACCAGAAGGGGAACACTTTGACAAGATATATCAAACAAAGCCAGGATGTCAGAAGGTAGATCATGAGCCAGCCTGAAGAACAAACACGATCTTGGAACAATAGTTCATATTACAATAAAACCTCTTTAAAAGTAAAAAAGTTATTTGTTTGTCCTTCGATACAAATTAAATGTTTTACTGTTTTGTTGGGTGTCAAACACACTCACCTCATCCAGAGCAATTTCTTCTTTCTGAAATGAAAAATGCCTAAGTTAATACCACAAATATGTGCAAGTTTTAGCTAATAAATATTTTCCAAATTTTTCCCCAACAATTAAAACACATGGAAACACCTGTCCCACCTCCCCCTGAAAACTCAAACAACAAACTTAAGGAAAAGAAAAAGCTTTTAATCTTTAAAATATGTATGGATAGTTCTTTTGTCTTTAGTTTCCTAAGCAGCATTTACAAGTCCCACCTCACACCATGTCCTATACATGGAAAAAGCAGCATTATGGTGTTGCCCATAGAACAAAATTTAAGGTTAACACTTTTTCTCTAGATCATTTTGTCCTAGTTGAGTGTAACAAAATACATGAAACTTCCTGTATTCTTTGGAGGATTTCTGCAAGAGAAATTTAATTCCTCAGTCATACCCCAAGGAAGCAACAGCAGCAGTGCTCGCTTCCTTAGTTCTCTGCTCACCCAAACTCCCCCATGCAGAAACTGGCTATCTCACAGCAGGAACAACAGGGTTCTAGGGAGCAAAGGCAAAAGAAGCAGCAGGGAGGACTTGAAAAAAGCAGTGGAAGAGAAGATGGTGGTAAAGAATCATACTGGGAAGCACTGCTGCAGCTCTTGGAGCCTGGCAGCAGGTTACTCTAGATGCTAAAACAAGAGTAACATTCAGAGGGGGATGTCTTCATTGTTCCCTGATAGGAGAATCTCACCTTATTTCGGTACATCTTCCACTGTCTTTGGATGATTTTGGCTGCTTGTTCCTTCCTGTGATCTTCTTTGCCTTTAACCGTGCAGACTGGTGAAGACTGCAAAGGAGAATCTCGAACTTAGTACACTAAAGGCACAACCTGGAATTCTATGAGGGAAACAGGTTACAAAATCAGCACCAGATCTGTTAAATGTTCATCCGGCCTGCAGGGTGGAAGGAAGTTTAAGAAGAAACTCTTAGTTCTGAATCCTGCTAACGTTCAAAGTCATCATCTAGATGACTGTTACAGTGAAACACATTTCTGTCCCCATTTTAGCTGTTAGCAGAGCATGGGAATGGAAAGGTTTTCATTTACACACACTCCTATTTTTCTGTGCATTGCTAAAGCAATAGGAGCTCCAACAGTGGAACCCACTGCTTTGTTGATCAGAAATGGTTTGTATGTTATTGACAGACTGAGAACAAATATCAGGATACCTAATTTTGCAATTCTTCTCCAGGAGAGTCTAGTATTAATTAACTGGGGAGTGCTCTCATGTCTCATCCTGGCTTCTGTGGCCCCATAATCATCTGTTTAAGCTTACTGATGAGTTGGCCATCATATGACACCGACAAGACGGAGAACTTGTGTATACTGGCATAACTCCAATCTTTTATCTTGAAGAAATTAATTACAGGAAAAATAAAGAAACCAGGAACAAAACAAGATTTTGTTCCAGTTATTTCTTCTGCGCTGTGGTTGCATATTCCACCTCTCACCATCTCATCCTTTTGATCCCCAATTATCCCATACTAATTGTCATACCTCACTTGCCAAACAAAAGTTAACCGCAATTTTAAAAGACTAATTTAATTTGCTGGTGTAAAATTCTAAGTAGAGGAACAAGAGATTTTATAGACTCTGAAAAAACCTCTTGATTCTGTGAAAAGGATTTATTTATAACCTAAAAACGCTGAGTTACAGGCTTAAGTTTAGCAAATGGATCATATTATATTAAAAATGACAACCTACTATTAAAATGAAAAATTGGTAGGAACTTAGTGATAATTACAAATAATAGGAACATTTCAATAAATGGATGGTTACTGGCCAAGAATATATATAGTCTGCAGAGGAAAAAAGGAGCTGTTTGTTGGCTGTTTTTAAAGACTCAAGTTATTTGGTATTCCAAACATCATCTAGCATCCATCAACCTATAACACACAAAAAAGAATCTAAAGAATTGCACAGTATATCAAAACCCAGCACCCTCTTAAGCTAGTGGACATTTTTATTCATATTTTTTACTACCTGTATTTCAGGGTCTATTTATTTTTAAGTACAAACGATCAAAATCCCCAGTAATAATTTTCAACTAGTTTTTAGTGAAATGAGATTAACATGACCACATTGCATCTGAAAGCATGTCTGTCAGTGCCCGTTCATCTCTACCGGCCAGTTACACACCATTTGGCAGAGGGATGGAAGATTCAAAGATACCAAGTTCAGTCATATTTCACGAAAATACCCCAACTGATTACAGAGGCCCATTAAAGACTGCCCAGGATCAACAGATGCACAGATATATTTGCTAGATATCGAAAAATCCAGAAAGATGATGTTATGAACACCTCAACTCTAGAAAAAGTTCAATTCAAAGGAAATAAGGGTTTATTTTATTGTATTGACGTCTTCCCTAATTCTTTACTCATATATGGTGTCCCATCAGCAGTGGAATTAAAAGAAACCCTCAACTTCCGTTATGATTAGTGCTCTACATCCTGTAAACCTTCCCATGAAAAAGTACCCTGCTTCCATCCAAACAGAAAGGCTAATGAATATTTTCTGACTGGACAGCACATGTGCCCTAACTGATCACTTGACCAGCGTAAAAATCATTGAAAAGGAGTTTTTGTCTTTTGCTAGTCTGCCAGTGAGCAAGCTTACCTGTGTGGCTATCCTTTATCTGTAAAATCCTACAAGACCTCCCTCCCTCTAGAAAATTGGACTGAAATTAGCTAATGGGTTCAGATGTTATAAGAATATATAAGCAAAACCACAAATGTCTGGTGGGTTTGTTGGGTTTTTTTAAGGCAAAACACACAAACACTTAAAAGTGTAAGCTTTTTGCAACATTCCACTGAAGAAGAAAAAAGCAATGGTGAGGCAGATAATCACTAAGAGAACAGCTCCAAAAAACCCCCAAGTTGCAGTGGTAATTATTGAAACAACTTACCAACAAATGCTGGGAATTAACCATCATTCAGAATCTCTGACAAGATTTAATGCCTCTCTGAAAAGGCACGACTAGCAGCTATTTAGACTATCAGGTCAATTTGCAATATATTAGATGCAAGTGGAAAAAAAAACCCACAAACAAAACCACAAGAAAAAAGATGTGTCTATACCTTATTAAGCTTTTCCATTGTATCTTCTGCTATTTGACTCTTCTCTTGCTCCAATTTTGACTCCAGTTTCCCTACTTTCTGTGTCAGGTTCTGGATTTCCTCACTACAGTTGGAAAAACAAAGATATTTATAGCCAGAAATTTTCTGTTGTTCCCACTTTGAAAATACTGAATCTATTTCATAAGATTTGGTTTCTTTGGGTTTTTTTAAGGCCAAAGCGAGGAACTGTTCAGGATAACATGATACATATTCTCATAGTAACAGACACGTGACATCAATTCTCACGTTGTGATAGCACAGCCTTACGTTAAAATTAAAAAGTCCCAGGGTTACAATGGTACCCTTGATACTATTAATAACGCATCTAAAACTCTACAGTTTCATATTTGTCAAAGTCCTTTCTTACAAAGCAATAATGAAATAACTTTTTTTTGGTCACCTTTGCACAGGATTATTATCAACAGTTACACAGAATACATGAAGTTAATGGAATGACTTATTGGCAATGGTCTAGAAGCATAGGCTAAGGTAAAGATACTATAGTTTTTTCTTAGGAAAAGAAAAAAAAAGTCTCTGAGCCCAACATGGCAGCTTTCTTTTTCCATTTATCTTATTAATTTTTATTATGATTTCATTCTTAATTTTACTATACTTCTTAGTCTTCCACTTCTTCTAAAACCACTTTGTAGAATTCCTCCCCTAATAACTTACTCTATCTCTCCAAAACAGTTCTGCTTAAATGAATTCCCAGCTTCCTGCAGTTAAGCTTATCTCCTACAGATTTTGAGCCACTTCAAAAGAGAATTATACTTTACCAGATTTTTTTTTTTGTTCTGAAAGGATCTACTAATACAAAATATGATACCTTAAAGTCTGCTCTTCTGTACTCTTTTCTTCCATCTTATTCTGCCACTTCTGCAGCTCTAGCTCCACTTCAGCCTTAGCCTGCAGTAACTGCTTGATATCTGATCTACAAAGGTATAACGAAATCTAAGCAACGCTTAAGACATTCATACTTCAACAAAGTAGTTATTTTTTGTTTAAGCTTCTAAATAAAATAGGTTCTCTCAAGTTTGCCAAGTAACTAAATGTTTAATTTTTCCTTTTAAACAAAACAAAGTGCAAGCATACATTGTTCAGAAGCAAAACGCCTCTTCACATGCTCTCACTATGCATTTTTGTTCAGAGGCGAGTTGACACAGGAGGCAGAATGTCTTACCAACAATACATAGATGTGTGCACATCTCTGCTCATGATCAGGTTAACCTGCCTGCCCTTATGCAATGACACATCAAAGGAGTCCAAGCAATACAAATTGCAAATGAATCGCTTACTGGGGAGAAAAGAAGTCACAGTGCATCACATGGCAGAAGGCAGGCTTAAATGGAGAAAGTGATAGATCAGGACAAAACATGTTGAAAAAAACAAGACATTTTTACAGCAAATTACTTGCAAGAAGTTGCTGTGTAAAGTGACACATAACCCTTCAAAGGCTTTTCAATGTGGTCAGCAAAAAAAAGGGCCTTGAAAAATGTGTTAGAAACAATGAGAAATTCTCATTTTCTATTCTCTCAGTGACTTTTTTTTTCTGCAATGTAATTTTACAACGCTAGTAAGACTAGAAGAAGCTTTTGAAATATAAGCTGAAGGGACCCTCGAAATTCGTTTTCTTGCTGAAAATGTGAAGGACTTATTACATTGTTTCATAATGTGATAGGAAATAATTAAATAATTCAGAAAACAACTCAGACAAGAGTCGCACTTACTCTTTATTGAGTAGGAGATTTTGAAGTGCCTTCCTATCACTCTTCAGTTTCTTCACTAGCCCTTGGAGGCGATGACATTCCTCAACGTGGTCTACCTGTTGAGAGGCTGGATGATCCAGGTCTACAGAAGGCGAAGATGACACAGCAAGTAACTGTGATGACTCACTATCTGCTGATGACACCCTGGTGTTCTCCATGGCACATACTTTCTAAACAGGATAAATTTACACAAAAAATACAAAAGAAAAAAGAAGAAAATTAAATTTAGCATAAAATTATTTTCTTTAGTCCATGAGAAAAGATCAAATGGAATTAAATTCTAAAATGCGCATCTATATGTAACAAGTATGAGAAAAGAAAAAAGGGAGGAAGGGTGCATGGTACAGACATCAGTTTACATGCGTGAGCCAGAACGCGCAAGGCTGATACATTGAAGGACAACATGCCATGAGCACAAGCCAGTGGTTCTGCATTTTTTGCTCGAAGACAGGTAAGATGGCCATATCACTACGATCACTTACTTTTTCTAGTTCCGAAATCCGCCTCATCAGCCTCTGTCTGCTCCACTCGCTGTAATCTAAATACAGTAACAAATCTTTAAACATGAAACTATTGGTAAGTCAACATTGTTCTTGCTTTTTGAAACTTCTGTCCATATAGAAAGACCATCTAAAGACCTCTGAACCCCAACTTTAAATATGCAGCAATGAAAAAATGAGAATGGTCTTAAATATCTGACTTCTACACCAGTTAGATCAGAAATCAATATAAACTATTCACATTCATCAGTTTTGAACAACTGAAAACCAGTTTTCCAGTGAAGCATTAAATCTTCAAGTGATTCCAGTCCCGAATTCTCAGGGATAATAATAAAGGAAACCCACATCTGACCGGAGCAGCATATCCAGAAGTCAGAGACTCCTGTAAGTAACTTCTCATTCCAACCTCTGCCCCTCGTAAATCTTTACCTTTGTAGTAACTCCCTCATTTCTACCATTGTAGGGGCCTGCTCTCAAACATATCTTTCAAATGTACCTAAATCCCTTGCCCCTTGTTCACCAACTTTTCAGGACATACTTTTTGTTTTATTGGAAGGAGGAGAACTGCTCAGTACATGATCTAGATCTTCCTTCAGCCTCCGATTCTCATTCTGCAATTCCTTGATGTTCCTGGATAATCTCAGGACAGCAGCATTCAGTGCCTTTAGTCGTTTTTGGGTATCTCTGCCCTCTATACTTGGAAACAGGGTCAAAACCACAAAGTTAACTTAAAAGCAGAGAACAAAGAAGCAGCATTAAAAAAAGTGGAACAGCCTCACTATTCAAGTCAGGTGGCTATGTTAACTGACTCTGCTCCCCCCCAATAGCATTTCTCAACATTTTTTACCTGAGGACTTACCTATTCTTTTAGGGAAAAAACATGCAAAGACCATCTTGCTCAACACTTTCACAACTGTTTTAATTTGCATCAAAGAAAGAAGATACTCTGAAACTTTGAAAGTTCATTTATTACTTTTACTTCCTCCCCCACTCTGTTTCATTAATGCATAAACAAGGGTGCTTGTACGAGTTTTACTTATTTAGTTTTCTATTTGTTTTGTTAACCAACCTTACAACGCTTTACCAGTACTCTATGGACCACCGATTTAAAAACACTTATCTTCAGCCAATTGGGAGACTCCTCCAAAAAACTGTTCATCATGGAAACTAACCTGCATGCTCTGAATTGCTCTCTTTCACTTAAACAGATTGAGATTGGGAGGAAGAGAGGGTAACTCTCAAACAAATCCAACACACAAGTGTATTTTCAGATAAGTGTGAACGCTGCTGTAATGTAAAAGAAACTATTCCTGTGAAAGTAAACCCCAGAGAAATTTCTTTCTTCATTTAAGACGTATTTCAATCAATGAGAGATTTGAAACAGATTTGAAGAATACAGCTAACATAGATATGATGGCAATAAAAGGCATCAGAAAAGGGAAAGCCTGCTATGTGTTAAAACTGTTTTAAAAATATTACAATCATTTTGCCTTTTTTAGTTTTTACAATAAAAGGGGGAAGAAATCTCAGCTTATAGATGCACAAAGTCATAAAGCTTGTTCACAAAACAAATTCCTAGCGAGATGAAATACCTGTTCTTTATTGCTATGAGAAAGTTCTTAAAAACTTACTTCTGGAAACAAAGGTCTAAAGTAACTGATCGACCTACTTTTGGACAAATGACACTGCCAATGACAATCACAGAACAGTTTGTAAAGGAATCTTACATCCCATCCACTGGAATAATTATAGGGTAAAGGGGGAGACAGTCTACAATTAGCATATCAGAGTGAAAAGCTGAATCTAATCTACCTTTTGGAAATTAAAAGGAAGTTAAGCCATAAAAACAAACAAATAAGGCTGTCCAGATGTCATGGATTCATACAGCTGTCCCAGGAAAAAAAGTAAAAAACAAAAACACAACACACCACCAAAACCGGGAAGTGACAGAAATGATGGAATCATAACTGTATCACTGAGTGCCATTATTTTAGGCTTATCAAAACCTAAATGAAAGAATTGCAGACCATTTTGAGGACTTGAAAGGTTGCCTAGTTTCTAGCTACAATTAGATACTACAGCTTCACATACAAATAATCATGTTTCAGCGTTAACACTGAAAAAGAGGAGGTAAATGCCATTCACTTCAGCCAGAAATAATCTAGATAAGCATCATGAAAGAAACACTCTCCTACAACTCCTTCTATGTGCCAGAGTCCTGACCTTCAACATCATTTATTATTTCAGTGCTCAGCCTCTCAAGTAGAGACTGACAGTCATGTAATGGAGAGAGACCGCCCTGACCACTGCTTTTTGAAGCTATGAATAAATGAGGACAAGGAAGAGACCTGATGACTCATTTTCACACATAAATAAATAAGGTGTGATTGCTCGCAGCCTCGAGAGGCTTGTCACTGCACGCCTGAGCCAAAAGAGATAAATATTTTTTTTAAAACAGTGACGAAACAAATTGCAGTTTTCAATCCACAAGAGACAGTGAATTAAGGAAACAGAAATAGTACACATAATGACCTATAAAGAGTTCTTATATGTTTCTATCAATCTAAATAATTACACCCCAAACTAAGACAGTTGCCTGTACTTAACACTAGGAGGGCAAGTATATTTTGTAGTGGTGTGGTAACAAAATTTGCTATCCCACAAGACTCTATTACCCTCTTCACAGCTCAAATAACACTCACTTGCATAGATGCTTTTAACTCGCTCTCTTACTGAAGCTTTGTCTTTTGCCTTTGTGCTTTGATTTTTATTTCCTCTATAGGTTTACCTTCACCACCATGTATACACCCGCACACTAGTGACAAGCACTAGTACAAGCTTCTCTGACAGTGTCTTACTAGTGCCACTCATGGATATCTCACAAAAGCAACCCTGACCGGTGGATCTGTGTGTACCAGAGGAAAATAATGTTTACTCCAAAATACCTTCTTTGCAGCATACACCCTAGAGCAAGATGCAGAACTCACTCAAGAGTAAAATGCCGAACATCTAGTGAGTTTGTTTCAATCACCAGTGATGTCAGAACAGGTGTGATTATGGAGGAAGATGGATTTTATTTAACAGAGATAAATTTTCAGAGCTTTCATGTACTTTTAAAATAGCTCTAGTATTTTTTCTACATCCACAAAATGATCTATCCACAAAAAAAAAAAACCTTGACTAAGACATATGCTAAGGCTGTGAAGCCAACCAAAGCAGTAACAAAAAGCAAATCCAGCAATCTAAATGACAAAATAAACTATTCCCATGTAGTTGTTTTCCATCAGTTAAAGTAGTATATGAGCGATACATCAAACACATATACTCAAACATTTGCCTCAAAAGAATTAAACATACTTTTTCCTCATAGTCTCAGATTTTGCCAGGAGGAGCTGGAGACGATGAACCTGCGAAATATGAAATATAGGTTCCATTAAGGAGCTAGCTCTGGAAGCTGACATTGCTAATGCAACACATTTGTCCATTAGGTGAAAACCAGAACAAGACTCTTTGGGTAGTAGCAGAGGCAATGATGCCCTCACAGAAAATCAGGCTACTGTTATATTTGCTTTCACCTAGACACTACATTTATGGATGTACATTAGTTTATTTATTTCACCTTTTTGGTTAACACACTCAACTTATTGAAGAAAAAAGGTTTTTCAGTACATATAGTTGGAGCTATGAGAATATCTATGAAAATCTGATTCCGATGACAGGTGCATCTAAGCTGTAGGAAACCTATCTGAAACATTCCATTTATACTTTGACTCAACAATTGAACAACTTCCTCTCCTGTATGCACACTGAAGGACCTGTCAGACGTACCTCTTCATAGTAGGTTTCCATAGCTATCCTCATTTCTTCCAAATTAGTGGTCTTCACGTCTGCCTGGAATTTGCTGAAAATAGAATAATACAAAAAATAATTCGGTCAAACCAGCAAAGACACTGCAATACCTGTTGGTTTACAGTTTCTGGGTGGGTGGTTTATAATTGCTAACATGTTCTCAGAGTTCATTAAAGTGTCTTAAGGAATACAGATAAAAAATAACATTGGTTTCAAATTCCCTTTATTATCTCATCCAATACAAGCCTCTATCCCCCACCAAAGTCATACTTAATAGTGTTGTCTTTCTCCTTGCACTGTTGTTCTAGCTTGAGAATCTTCTGCTTTAATCCACTAACCACCTACAGAAAGAACAAAGAACTCATGAGTCCTAGAATAATCCATCTCTTCACAGAAGCTCAATTTCTCCGTAATCTTGCCCTCTCTTTATAAATTGTACTTAACCATATATACTTACTCCTACATACTTCAGTACTTAGTAAATCATACACATCTGCTACCCTGTGACAAAGAGAACACTAATGAAATCAGATCCCTAACTTACCTCTGTGGTAACATAACCAGCTCAATAATATTTATACACAATCATTAAATAAAAACAACTCTGCCCATTACCCTGCTAAATTCAAAGCAGCAAATAGGGAGAATACTCCTTAAACAGATTCAAGACAGTGATAAAGACGACTCCCTAAAATAAGGTTAATTCCAGATCTTTGTTACTGGTTTCTTATCTGACTACAGAAATAATGGTTATGTGATTCCCTAATTGCTTATTCTTTCTTGCTTCATTTTGTTTTTTTAATCAGCAGTATTTCAGCTTGGCAAGAGGGAAAAAGGAAAAATGAAAGCAAAAGGTAATGAAGAAACTATTACCCATCCATTATCAGTTGTCTTTTCTGACAAAGCTCGTGCCAGCTCAGAGCCCTGCAAGATAAGACACATAAAGCAAGTGACCAACCTTGCTACTTTATTCTACTGCCAGCTCTTTCCAGAATTTTCTAACCTACTCATCTCCACAGTCATTTCACAGTTGTGACGGATGCACTCGACCCCCTTAACCAAACTAGCAGTAGTTTGGTACAGGCTCCAAAAGAGGTAAAGGCCTGAGCCGTAGCCAGGCCAAGAACTCCTCCAGACAGCCCACAAAGGAGCAGAGTGACCCAGTGAGCATCGATGCATATGAGCTTGGATCACCAATCATGTGATTAACACATGAAAAGCAGGTGTTTTTTCTAACAGTCATCAAGGAACAAAGAAAGTTGTGAGTACGAGGAGTTGTGAGTTGTGAGTATGCTCATGCATACCTTCCCATTGTATGCAGTTTGACTACAAGCCAATCACTATCTCATAAATATGACAGCCTAAGTGAGCCTTCTTTGAGCACTCCCTGCTAGGCAATGTGGCTGCATGGCAGTGATCTCCTCTTGATCTGGGACACCTCTCAAGGTTGCTCCTCGAGGCAGAGAGACCTTTTACCAACGACAATTGCTGGATGAGTCAAATTTGAGCACTCCCTGAATTGCAGCTGGACTGCATGCGAGGCAACTCTCCCCGTGAGCAGGGATACCACTCAAGGTTTGAGATCCTTTGCCTGAGACTAAGAGATCCTTCCTTACCCAAGACGGAGACACCCCTTATTCACAACAGATCCTCAGTAAGTGACTGAGAGCATGCTGAACTAATACTCATGAAATCCATGTGTCTAATTCTATTAGACATAAACTGTTGACCAAGTCTGGGACTAAGTCTGGATCCAGCCACACCTAGACTCTCTGAGAAGGAGTTTAGAAAGCAAGGTGGTCCATTATGAACCTTGTGACTCAACAAGAGGTTTTCCTTACTCTTTGTATTAATTCCATTAGACATAAACTGCTGTCCAAGTCTGAGACTAAGTTTGGACCTAGACACGCCTAAGCTCCATCAGAAGTTTAGAAAGTAAGGGGGCCCACTCTGAACCTCGTGACTCAACAGAAGGGTCTCCCTTACCCTTTGCGTCTCCAGTCTCTGTGTAAATCATTCTAAATCGATTCTAACTTGATTTCCTTTGTATGTTTCTTCTGTGTAATAACAGAGTGAACCTTATCATCAAACTTTAAGTCACACTTTTACAAATTCACATTAAAATCACTTTTGCTAATAGCTTTGACAGTGATTCTTTAAGTGATCTAAATCACTCATTTGCAACAAATTGGCATAGTTGACAGGATCCTTAATCAGGATTTGCGACAACAGTCCAACAGCTTAAGTTCTGAAGTCCCTACGCTCACTGTTTTATATTAGCACACTTCTCCCAACATGTAGATCTGCACACAGAAAGTGACAGCCACAAGGAATTCAGTGAAATTTAGGTCTTCTAACTATGACCGTAAATGCTCCTCAGCCTCATGGGCCTGACAATAAGGCTTATCTTTTGCTTCCTGGTTCAGGTCTCAGGATTGCATGCATCAGTCACCATTCAAGAGGTTAACTCCCCTCTACTCTCAGGCAAAATATTCAGAAAGTGGACCTCTAAAGAGACAGCATTTTACTTTTACCTTGAGAAATTAAAAGTATCTTTGCTAACTAAACTTATCTGCACAGTGTGGCATGATCTTCCTTTGAACTGAGCTGGACTGGTGAGCTACGATACACAAAACAGAAATCCTTCACACCAACCAACCACCTCTCATATTCAAGCTCATCATTCCTAGGAGCCAACGCACTACGGACTCCTGAAATCTAGAGAGACAAGGAAAAGACGATCAAATTGCTCAGCACTCTTTTGCCCCACTTTTATCCCCCCAAGAAACAGTCACCCTGGAAGGATCCAACAGTTGTTCAAGCTGTTTATCCTTTCTATTGTTCTCTTCTTCTAGTCGACGGAGCTTAGTTTTCATTCGATCTCCCTCATTTTTCTGAGCTTGTATTGTCTAAAAGAGGGGAGAAAAAAATTGTAAGCACATTTCAGAAATAGAAATACACTGAGTTTTCACATGGAAACATGTTTTGATGTCAGTAACAATCCAATTATGATGGTCAGGATGAAGCAAAAGAAAAAAGAGAGACCATCACACTGGACCAGGGCTGACAGATAAGGGAGATGACAGGGCAAAGATAAACGGAAAAGGTTTAACAGAAAGGCAACCTTACACAAATGATCTACAACAGCCCAGATACCTGTCTATAGGTATCCCTAGTGTTCAACATGCCCAGTCCTCATGTTTCATACGCTGCTCTAAACTCAACTGACAAATTTTTAAAACGTGATGGGTAACAGCCAGGAGAGTAGGGGGGTGGGGGGGGAAAAAAAGGTGGAGGGACAAAGAAACCAAATGCAATGAACCTTTTCAGCGTCCAGCTAAGGCCATGGCTGGGGTTCGGGACTGGATATACTTCAAGGCTTCCACATCCAGTACTCAGAAGTATCTATCACACCATAAGAACAATGAAATTGCCTTAAACAGACACAAGTTTAGTTTCGCCTTACATCACGAAAGCAAAAAAATTTCGTGGATGTCCCAGTTGTAGAAACCAAAGTATTCTGAACCAACAAGGCCTGAACATCTACAGGTAGATGGAGCGACGCTATGACTTTCTATCCAAGTATCACAGAGACTGTACCTTTTTCAGTTCTATAATTTCATCATACATATCTTCTTTTTCTTTGTAGTCAGGAGTTCCAGGAATGTAGCCTACAGAAAAAGGTATATAAAATAAGCAGATCTGCAAGAAATATTTTTAACTAACAAGAAACCTTACAGTTAAAGGAAAATATCTAGAACAGCACCAAACTGAAAACTAGGTTTGGTTTTTTTTTTTTAGAAGAAAAATCAGCAAGGAAATTAATTTTAGAAATAGAGGTGAAATAGAAATGTTACTGTATGAAACTTCTGCCAGATTTTACAGCCAATTTCTCCTAATTACTCCTCTCTGGTGCTAGATTAAAATATCCATCTCAAGAAAAATAGATGCTTCACAGAAGACTGCAGTCTTCTCACCGCAACAAATCAATTATTTACAAAAGATTTCTAAAAGATGTCCAGAATATATTTTGCTATTTATGCCTAACGTGTAAAAGTCTATCATCTTTCAAAGTTGCCAGAAACTCTGTATCACCAGTAACAGTATAAGTGTCATTTTAAATGGAAGTTGGATTTTTAAGTTTGCAGTTCTCCTTTAAGAAAAGCAGGATAAAGTTTTAAATTTTGTTCCTCTCATAAAACTCAGTTGATTTTAATATCACAACCACATGACAAAACACTTTCTAGAGAAGAAGTAAAAGGAGTCAATTACATAGAATTTCAGGCAAGCAGATGGTTTCTATCAATGGCTCCTAAGCTGTGTTTTGCAAAGTCACAATAAATTGTCTACAGCTGGCCCATTGAACCATATTATATTTGCAACATTTTCAGCTGCAAATGCATGGCAATTTGCAAAAAGTTCTGAAAGCTAATAGTGATTCATTGCTCAAAAAAAATTTGGAAACCCCTGTCTTATCCAATTTAGAAATCTCAAAAAGTATCTCATGAATCATATTTTGACACATATTTTGATACAGGCTAAACTGAAATGGTTCTTGCTTTCCTAAAGCTAAGATCTTAAGCAATGTATGCTTTTACATGGAAAAAAGATCATTAACTTTTATTTACCACACCATTACATAGTTTACCATTACTAGAAGAACGAGAGTGTTTTGGCTTCTTCATTCCTAGAGCTTCCTTCAAATATTCTGGAGTGCTACTAGAAATGTTAGTTCGCATATGCCCCATGCCAGCATCTGATTTCAGAGGATGGCTCATTCCTGCCAACAAAAATGGAACAAAAATGCAAAAATTGGGGATAATTGTGAATTAAATTTGTGGATTTATTCTGAACAAATGCAACATAGAAAGCTCCAGATGCTGTTAATTATTCCCTCTATAAATTCCAGTGTTCAAGATCAGATAATTCCAACCACCCAAATAAATAATAGTGAAATGACTTCCTATGTAGCCTATAATGAAATACAAATCTGTTTTTTAAGAGTTTATATGTTAAGCTGAACACAACACTGAATGTTATCCATATACGCAGATAAAGTTTCTATAATAATACCTTGTTTCAGTGATCCCAGCCACATCTGCCTTGGGTTTTTTACAGCTGCACTCTCAAGATGTGCACTGCCTGTTCCCTGCAGAGATCGCCAAACTGCAGTTTTTTTAGGATACAGTTGTGTGCTAGAACTGTATGGAGACTCTATAACAAAAGAAAATATCTCAGCATTGCCTTAAAAAGCTCAAGGTCATGAAAATCCTTTCTGTCTTGTGCTTCAAGGTTCCCAGACACAGTCCTATTACTTATAAAAATAGAATTTAACAGCATACTACATATTGGCTTATATGGAGCAATGGGACATTCACCTAAAAAAAAAAAAATCACGATAAAGAAAAAATCCAATTCCAAAAAAATGAAGAGCCTTACAAAGAGGTATAGTGACAGTAATATGACTAAATGCATGTAAAAATATTTACACGTACAGTTTCGATAGGCATCCCTAAGATACCTGCATGTCTAAATTCATACATTAAATTGCCCTTTCAATGAGTGTATACACAAACGTCCTATCAATGAGAAAAATATGTATGGCTAAACAGACAGAACTAACTCTATAGCTACTAAACCACTAGCAATTTTCTTGCAGTAATCAAAGAACAGAATTGGTCTGATGCAACTGCTGGGGAGCCCCTCACATTACTACTTCAGGTATGGCAGTCAGGTTCAAATACTGACACTAATTACACTTCAAATTAGTATAGCTGTGCACTATATGGGCTAACTAGTTAGTCTTCAAATTACCAAGAGAAGTACATACAGGAAGAGGCAATGTCACAAACATCATAGTTGACATTAAACAGCTATTTTAAATTCCATCATTTAGGCAAGCAAAGGGATTTCAGTAAAAGAAAGAAGATAGATACACATCTACCAGAAGAGCATGCCTCCTCCTCAACCTAAAGCAAAATTTAAAAGCACAACATTATTTAATTTATTAGAAACAAAACAAAGTAACAACAATCAGCAACACTCTGAGGTAAAGTCTTCTTTGAAACATTCACTGGAAATATAAAAAGGAAGGTAAATGGAAAAGTACAGTAAGAAACATAAACCCCAGAAGAAAAGGACAAAACCCTACATTAAAACTGCAGGTCTAATAACATTGTACTTCTGAGGTCACGTGAATAAAAAGCCCAAACAACAAATGAAACTGAGAACTGCTTAATTTACAAACACAGGTATCTACTGGGTGGTAGGTAGCTCCAGTAATTCTAGATTCTTTCTACACAGCAAGTATCAGCATTTCTCCAAAAAGACAAAGAGAAAAAGAAATGCTTGCCATTAGAAGGGATAACATCAGAAGAAAGTAGTTTATGCTGGAGAATCAAGAATTACAACTAACCCACAAACTTCAGTATTAAACCCATGAAAGTCTAACTTCACAGGTTACAGAACAAATCTCAGATAGGTGTGCTCTGCACAAACCAGTGAATAATTTCTGAAGAGAATAATAAGATGTTGTTTCAAGTAAATCTTCCAGTTCCTGTGTCCCACAAATCTATCTTGTTCTGCAATAACAGAAGCAGAAGAAAAAAATTTTGGAACACTTACTTGGTGACTTTGGAGGCTTGTGAAAAATTTTCTTCTTTAACTTCTAGAAGAGAAAAAGAATTTTTTATGTATTTAGCATATTTCACTCTTCAAAAATTTCAGCATATAATCTCAAAATTGGCTTCAATCTCCATTTTGCATGGAGATCGTTTGTTCTAATAAGGCAAAATCTTCTGTGTAGAAAAGAAAAATAGTAGCATTAAGTATATGCAGATTTGGCCACAGCAATGGTCACCAGAATTAAGGTGGTACCTACTGGAGTTTTATGCTACAGAGAAAAAGTAGTCTGTTCATGCTCAGAACACCAAGACCTTCCCCATCAGTATTAAATATGAGTAGCAGGAAATTAAAGATGATCACAGAGTAGAGGCTCATCTGTAGAACCATTTAGCTAAAGGGAAGACTTATTCAATTCCATTAGAACTCTGTAAAAGGATTACTTAGGCCTGTAACTTGATATGAACAGCGAAATGAAGCCAAACATTGTTTGCAGCCCCCAGTGCTGAGAATTTAGAAGCCAGAATTACATCTGGAATCAAAGGAGGTTTTTGAATCAAACTACATTGCAATAACATTGTTAGCCCTCCTCTGAAGGGTGTCTTATCAACCAGGAGGCAACACATGGATGTAGTGTGTGCAAGAACGTGTTGAGAGGCCTTTTAAGGCATTCATCCACAGTGTGCCATTAATAAAACTCACCATTTCTGTATCTGATTCACAGGTTATTACAGACAGGCTGTCATCTCCCTAGGAAATAGAGACATTAACTGTGGCATTTGCTACTAAATAATTGGTTATAATACACCTCCAGAAAACTTTATATCCTTCTACTATCACAACAAAGTTTGAGTGCAATAAATTCAAATGGTAAATGTGTCACCACTGTTCCAAAAACCAGCATCATTTGCGCTAACACAAACGTTCTGCGTGATATAGCGCAAGTCACTTCAGACTTGAGCCAGAGACTTATGCGCTTCAGTGCACAGCATTACAACATCTGAACCTTCAGGTGCCCCATCTTCCAAGGTGCTGGTTTTGCGTTAATTTCTCCACCAGTAAGAGTTAAGCAGCAACTCATCCGTTTGCCCCTTTCCTCACTCACTTGTTCCTACCCTTGCTATGCCATGCGAATGTTCAGTAAACTCAACTGGAGAAGTGATCAGGCTGACGAAAAAACCCAAATCAAGGAATCAAAAAAGTGGTTAATTTTTCCTCAGATTGAGCTGACAACTTTCCCTGCTTCTCAAACGTAAGCATATCCACAGCAGAGGGAAAATTTCCGCTTTGCTTTCAAATTATCTGAATGTATGCTGCCCTCACAGAAAGAACATTTTCACTTGCTGCTGACTCCACGGTGCTCACAGCTGCAGCACCATTCTTTGGACAGATGCTGATCTATCTCATTGTAAGAGGCAGCACGGGGTGCAGTATTTCTGAGAACCCTGGTTGACAGAACAGGAGCTGGGATTGACAGCAACAGAGCAGGTAAAACAGCTTTTTGTGCTGGCTGAGAGCAAACAGGTACACATCTCACACACCATGCCATACAGTTTTTAATTTCCTGAGGCAATGTTCCTTGCAGCACACTTATTATTTTTGATATTTTAAGGCCTTTTTATCACTCTGGGAGATCTCCCCATGTAACTGCAGCTATTGCATTAAGAATCAGAGAACGTGGAAGGCACCCAGCCTCGATAGGGGATAGTAAACAACAAAACGTTCACCAAGATATAAACTTGCAATAACAAAACCACCGCAGTCTTTGGAAACCTTCACAGTCCCTTTGCTCTTGCAAAGGAGGCCCAACAAGAGCCACCGGCAACAGACGACAACAGAACATGGTGGTTCCCAGCAAAAAAACCTCCAGCTGGCTGCCGAGGGGGAAGGAGACGAACCCCCCCCCCCCCCCCCCCCCCCCCCCCCCCGCCGCGCTACCGGCCAGCGAGAGAGATACGGGCAGAACCCAGAACCCCACGGGCTGGAGACGGACGAAACTGTCCTCCTCCCCCTCCTAGCCACCGCCTCGCCGGCCCAGCAAAGCCTGAGGGAGCTCCAGGCTTTATCCCGGCCCCGTAGGCAGACGGGAGCGTTTCGCGGGCCGGGCCCCGGCTGAGGCAGCCTCCTCCTCCTCCTTCCCACAGGCCCGCTCCTTACCAGCTCCCCTTCCGCGGCCGCCTCGCCGGCCCCCCGGGCCATAGCAGGAGGGTGACGGGGAGGCCTTAAGGGGGTAGCAGGGCGGCGGGGACCACCCCGGGCCACGGCGCACGGCTCGGGGCAGGGGGGAGGCCGCCGCGGCCTAGTCTGAGCTCCAGCCTCCCCCCCTCACGGCACTTCCGGGTTGCGGAAACCATGGCAACCAGCCGCGCGGCGGAGGGGCGGAGCGGGCGCCACGACGCCTGCGCAGAGTGACCGCGGGGAGGCGGAAGTGTGGGGGGGTAGGGCCGCGCCGGCGCTTAGCAGCGGCTCCGGCGTCGCCTGCGGGCACAGCCGGGCGGGCCTCGGCCTTGCTGCGGAGCTCGAGTGCCACCAAGCGGCCCCGAAAGGCAGGAAAGCCCGGCGGGCTGTGGAGAAGCCCTCACGACAGCCGGCTCCGCTCCGCCATCCTGCCCAGGGACAACCGCGGGCGGAGCACGGCCCTCAGAGCAGCCCCTTCCCCCTCGGGCACTGCCTTTAGAGCGACGGCGGGACCCCCCCC